CTGTAACTGCTGGGGGTGCATAATAACGGAAGGTAGTTTTGGCATTTCCTGGGTGATCGTAGAGCACGAGAGCATAGCAACTGCAGAGTGGCAGGTTCTTCTAGCACCGCAATTCGCACAGTCAGAGAAGATAACATTACTGTAATACGGCTGATGCCGTCTAGCCCTTCTCCACGCATCGTCACGTTGGCATTTAGCAATGGCATAACGTCTCGTACCATACAAGACTTCCACAAAGATTCTGAGAACGCGAAGCCAGAAGATACCGAAATCCAAGGACCATATAATTAAGTGCAGCCACTCCGTTCTGTAATACGAGAAAAAATACGAAGTGAGATCACTTACACAGGGTATAGGAGTGAGGAAAGGAGGAACCGGTTCTTAAAAAGCACGTCACGGACGAGGGACTACGTGCAGCAGCGGGAATAGGGAAGAGGGGAGGATGGGTGGGGAAGGGGAGGGAAGACGAAAAAGAGGAAGAGGTAGGGGGAAGGGGAGCGATAGTGGAGGTGCAAAACGGAAGAGGGAAGGAGGAGGAATTAGGAGAGTAAAGAAACCACGAAGACAAGTCAGGCTCGAATCTCGTGCTGAACTTTGTGATGCCAACGGAGGAATTATGCATGATTAGAACCTGCATGCTGGGAGATGGCAGATGCAGTCAAGCTGTATTGTCAGCGCACTCGTGAATTCCATCCATGATCATAAAACGTTACCGTAATTTGGATTTCCGTAATTTGGATTTGTCGTTGTGTGTGTAGGTTGATGCAGGAGCATCGTTTGTGCATTCAAGAGCTGCAATCCTTTCGGCTCGTGAATATACTAATCAAGGACAAGCAAGAAAAAACTTAGGGGGAAAAGCAGCGAAAAAAAGCTTCACGTTAAGCGGACACCGGACGATCCTGACCGTTGATTAATCCTTCCACTGTGCTAGCCAAGCAGCAGCCTTGGGAGCTATGAATCCCCGGCGGCCCCGCCCAGGCGCGGTCGAGGCCGCGACCCCACGGTATGAGGGTAAAAAAAAAAAAAAAAAAGAATCGAAGCATTCTGGAAACAAAATACGTTATGCAGAAAAATAAACTGAACAACTTCATATCCAAAAACTTTATCTAAATGGAAAAAACAAAAATCAATAACTTCCATAATTCTTCCACCCCCCCCAAAAAAAACACCCAGTTTTTGCATCAAGAAAATTATTTTTTGAATTTTAAAATTCAAAGACGAAGTAACAAAAAAAATTTAAAAAATTGCCCAATGTAGATCTTAAAACGATCTACAACATCATTTTTTTTTTCTTTTTCATGAGAATGTTTTGAGCCCGAAACAAATTGCTGAATGTCACGGCCGCACCCAACAGCGGCCAGAGAAGCGGCGGCCGTGATCCCGACCGCACGCCGAGTTTGACCCGCGGCCTCTGCCGCGGGTGACACATAGGTTGGGAGTAGAGCGAAAATTTGTGGGGAAATCATCAACCCAAACCAGCTCGTCAACAGGGGATACAGTTTAATCTCGTTTTTTCTTTTCTGGTTTCGCTCTTTCTCTTACTTCTTCTTTTTTTCTGTTCTATAATGACGAACAAATTTCCTGATTGAGATGCAACAAACGAACCAGATCAAAGGACCACTAGAATCATCCCAGGAGCCCAAGTCCCAGGCACTGGGAGGGTGATCACCTAGTTCTCGAGCATTTGTTGAAGCGGCCAAAGTATGACCACGAGATTTCCAGATCGGACGGATCTGAACAACCGGGGCTCGAGAACTGGTCGATCCCGCCACCTGTGAGATCACGGTGCCGTTTCTCGAGCTCCTGATTTGTTGGATTTCGCTTTCGCAGCTGTCTGTGTGCACAATGCATGCTTTCCCGGAGTGCATAAGAGTTAATGCATGCTTTCCCGGAGTGCATAAGAGTTGCAATCACAGCCAGGGGAGACGTCACGCTATGCTTAGCGTGCCGCCTATGATCGTCAGCATGAACACAAAGGGAATAATTGGTGGAAAGCCCCCATTGGGAGATCTCTGCGCATAGTCTCGCTTTAATCAATCACCTGGATTGCGAGAGAGACTTTTCGCACGAGCCATCGCCCGATGTGTGATCTATCATCTCCACAACAGTTACTCAGGTTCCAGCTCCGACTGCTTTCCTCTCTTGTGAAATGGAAACTTACATGTATGCTTCCGAAGCCGCTGTGCCGTTTGCCGGCTATGACCTGCAGATCAGCGAACATAGACGGTCAGGATCAAATAGCACTTTGGCAGCTTGGAGACAGCCGCAGTGGGACCGTCCGGGTTGACTTGATTCGTCATATCTGTAATGGTTGATTGAATTTTGTATGGTGATCTCCGCGGTGAGAAATGAAGAATCAAGGTATGTGAGTGAAATCTCATCCATAAGCATGCCAGTGGGTGAATGGGTCTTTTCCAGCGACAAGCAAAACGGACAAGAATGCCGAGGAAAAAAGAGACGAACGAGATGGGGGAAATATGGCAAAACACGCGCCCGACAAATGAAACAGACAGAAACGAGATCAGAGAAAACCAGCTCCTCAATGTGAACGAGCCACCAAGCATGGCGACAAACTCTTACGTAGGAGAAGGGAGAGACGACTCCCGAAAGGCAATTTTGAACTCTTCTTCGGGCGGAGGGGGGCAAGAGGGTGGGGCTTTGGCCTGGACGAGGAGAGGGATTTTCGGCAAGTGAGCACATTGGCAAAGGAAGCTCCGGGACGATGCAAGGGGGAAAGCAAAGAGGATTAACAACAGGATACCACGCGCAAACCAAGAAAGGGTCGTCTCCACAAAATGGGGCCACAGAAAAGGTAAAACGGAAAAACGAGAGGTCGGTAAGTCTTTGCCCATGGCAACAAATAAGATTCCGTTCAAAACAGAAACTGAGGGATTGAGTAACCATGTAAAGCACAAAGGTCACAAATTGAAAGAGCGCCCAGAGAGCACACGAGCTCAGTACATTGAGCGAAATCTCATTCCCTGAAATTCAAAATCCTTACACAATATGATACCACTAAGTCATGAAAAACTCCTCCCTCGTTTTCCTGGACGTCAATATCTAGGCAACACCAAGAAGAAAGAGATCAAGGCAGTCTCCAGCATCAGATCAAGAACACGAACATACGGAAAGGGTGTGTGTGTCTGTGGGAGAGCTGTCTCTTATACACATCTAGATGTGTATAAGAGACAGCATACGGAAAGGGTGTGTGTGTCTGTGGGAGAGAGAGAGAGAGAGAGAGAGAGAGAGAGAGAGAGAGAGAGAGAGAGAGAGAGAGAGAGAGAGAGAGAGATGCTTCGGCTAAGCTGTCTGGGACATCGTTACTCCCGCATCACTGACGGAAGGTCTGTAGACTTAGCGGATATTCTACTACTAGATTACCTCCCACAGCAGTAATACAAAAACTTACAAATGCGATCGGACTCATCGGAGAGTTTTGATAAGAAGAGATGTCCTGATATGAACAGATCATCACTACGGATCCTCGTCATTTCGCACAGACTCCATTGGCCATCCTGCGGAGCCAGTGTCACCTCTTGTTTCCCCCTCTTGGTCCCCCATAACCTCATGCTCTTCTCCGGAGTCCCTCGGGCAGGCCTGTGAGGGGGGATACTTCTGAGTCCTCCCGGCATTCCTTCGCCTATCCATTCGAGGGCCCTATCCACACCGGGACTCCATCACCGCATGCACATTCCGCCAAGGAAGTCCCTGGTGTGAATATGCCCTATGGCCAAACTTAGCCGCTGGCAACTTGTGGCAAGCTGGAAAGCTGACGATGTTSGATCGCYGCCCRGAGCTTAGCACGACGCCCAGCTGATGGCGAACTCCTGCGTTAGSTTGAGACCCTGAGAGCCCACGGTCATCAKGCCGCTTTTCRGTGGATTCCCAGGATTCAGCCGCACTTCGAAGTTGAGGTKGAGGTYTCTGACGACGTTGCACACGCTGTACGCCTGCCCGCTGAACTCGTSTGTGAACTCAAAGTCACCATCGAAAGGGCCGGCGATGACGCGCTTGGCTCCAGCCGTCCMTGGTGTCCAGRGCATATTGGGACTGGTCTGAGCGACGCCGGTCACGCCCGCGTCCAGCTTGGCGTATCCGCGCATAGTGACCATCCCCAAGCCGAAGATGAAACCTGGCGGATAACTCAGATTGACCGTCACCGTGCACTTCCTCCTCAGACCGTCCAAGCCAGCGTCTGTCGACGCAGTGTAATTGCTGAACCTCACAGTGATCACTTCTCCGTCATCCGACACTGCCCCCTCCGCAGACCCTGGCGGGCATCCATCACCTGCGTACTTGAAACCCGAGATCTTGACCGTACCCGCTTCCGGGGATGCAGCTTGTCCATGGATAGCCGACGTTAGGAATGCGAGCAGCAGCAGGGTAGCCTTCGTTTTCAAATTCTTCAGCAACCTCTACAACCACCTTCACATCTACGAAGGCTACCCTCTCGAGTGAGTGTCGGCGTGCAAGTGTAGCCGTGCTCTCGCTCCTCTCCACGGGCAGCGTGCCGAAGAGAGGGACCCCTTCCTACTCTTCGTATCTCAGCTACGAATAGGTGACACACTCTGCGCTAGCAACCTCTGAATCACCCGCTCCACATTTCAGCCCCGCTGTTCCTGCCTTCATGCACAGCAGCTCGAAGGGTCTGATCCCATCGTACTTCCCGTACGTTAAAAGGAGAGGTGGACCCCACTTCCTTGTAGAAGGTGGCCACGTCATGTGTCAGCGTTTTCGAAAGCTTTGCCCCAAAGAAGTGGGGTCTTACAAACCCTCTTCCAAAGCTTTGCCCCAAAGCAGTGGGGTCTCACAGATCGTCTGCCGCAAAGCAGTGGGGTCTCACAAATCGTCTTCCAAAGCTTTGCCGCAAAGCAGTGCGGTCCACCGGTTCGGCAGATGTAGGGAGCTCTGCCAGCCCGGTCGCATCAAGTGGCCTTGTGGAAACGTTCATGTCGACGGCGAAAACAGTTGGGGCATTTTGGAAACGAAGTGGACCCGTGCCCTCTCCCCTAAATGAGGGCGCATTTTTTGTGGGAGTTCTTTTTGAGAGGACAGGCCTTCTCTGTCCGCGCCCAAAAAAAAAAGCCTCCACTTCTGATGCATTTGGGGCCATCCCGTGCGTCCCTCCTCCTTTTTGGGTGGACCCACTGCTTTGCGGCGAAGCTTTGGAAGAATATTTGTGAGAACTCACTTCTTTGCGACGCGGCAAGCGTTTCCGCTCAGTTTTTTTTTTTTTCTTTTCTTTTCTTTTTTTTTGCCCTTTCCTCATGGTACTTTCATTGCATAGTCCCACTCGGCTCCTGTTTTCTTTGCTGGCCATGTTTTTTTTTTTTTTTTCTGTAACTTTGGTCTGTGGGAAAATAGGGAAAAACTGGCAGTTTTCTTAAACTCCTATAGTGTCCGAGGCAGTGCCATTGATAAATCTGATGGGCGGCCGGCCCACCGAAGGTAAGCATATATGGAGGGTAGAGGAACCACCAACTGCAGGACAAGTTAAATGCTCCAGATGGCACGAAGAGAACCACCAAGTCAAGAAGACATAGGAAGAGGAGACTACCTCCCTCCCTGTTACTTCTGTCCAACAAATCCGAGTCAAAGAAGAACATAAGGACACGATAAGAGGGAAGACGACACTGTACTCCCTGAGTAACCAAGGTATACCAATCCTCCAGCTCAAGGTGGATATGGAGGCCATTGGATGGAAATCAGTCTCAGAAGAGGAGCCCCAGGTAAGTATTGGAGATTACAAAGTCTCCTTGGGATACAGACTGAAATCCAGAGCAAATGAGCTATGCTGTATCACAAAGGCGGCATGGGACAAGTATCAGACCCTGCACGACCTACCAGTGAGAAACCTCAACTGGGCTAAGTCGTATGGAAAAGCCTTGAAAAAGTACCCAGTGGGTAAACATGCTGGGCTGGAATGACTAATTCTCAATAGGAGTGCTCCAACGGCTAGCTGGTGTGTATCCAAAAGGATGAACGTCAATCTCTTCTGCCAAAGCTGTACTGACCCAAATATTGAGGATCAAGCCCATATTTGGTGGGACTGCAAATTTACACAGGATTTTTGGACCTGGTGGCAAAAAGTCTGGTCAGAAGTCTATAGAGGCTCACAAATGGATACACAATGGGACAAAAGATTAGTGTTGGGGGGAGTAGACATCAAGCTCCACCCAGTGGTTACTCTTTGTCGTTCCCTTGGTACATGGATAATCTGGACGGAAAGAAATGGGGCAAGATTTGGAGAAAGAGAGGTATCCATCCACAGAGCACAATTGTAGCGGACCCACCAGGTGTGGTGCTCCGCTAGTGGTAGAGATGGAGATGGAGGAAGAAGGGGGGGAGCGAGATGGCACAACGCAGCTCCCCACGCAAGACTCCAACGCACGTACTCCAAAATGTGCAACTGAGAAAATGAGACTGAAAACAGACAATGGCTGGGGTATACCCCAGCGGACTGACGGGACTCGACTGGACTGGCTGGTACCGACAGAGGTACCGGCCTGGACTGGCCTACCCCGAATACAACACAGGCCTGTGAGAACAGGCCAAGGGGCTGGTCTCACAGGCCAACCCGAGGTCCGCTACACGATCCTCGGCCTGTGATGGATCGCCTAGATACAAACATGCTTCCGCCAAGAAGCGGAACTCTACCAAAGAAAAGAAAACCTGAGTAGTCTAGGATGCGGAGCAAGCTCCRTGCTGAGTCCATGCGATGCAACCKAGGMTATAAAATGTCACAAAACAGCAAWGTCACAGCTAACAGCCTAAGTGAAAGTAAAAGCAACTAACTAACATACATGTCCTAGGAAAGCAAAAGCAACTAACTAGCATACATGTCCTAGGAAAGCAAAAACTAGTGACAATTAGATCCTAGAATGTTGGAGGCACTAGCCTCAGTCTGGTAACAACTGACTAGTGTATAAGTCCTAAGAACAGCAAAAGCAGAACAGCTAAATCCTAGAAATGTCGGAGGCAGTAGCCTCAGTCTGAGAGCAACAAAGCAATCAACAAGACAACCATATGTCACATGAGAAGTGTGTCGCAAACCAAAGGGTGGGATGGTCTCTGAGGGTGGCGAATGCAGCCTAGGGGTCGAAAACTCCTAAGGGCATCCACACATAGTGACAGGGGAAAACACATGTCATCAGGCTCAATGAGGGTAGGGAACTGGGAGCGAATAGAACCAATGACCCTAACAGATAGACCATCAGGGCAGGTAATGCTCGACTAAGGGGTGACCGCTATGGAGGGTCGACCATGCAAGGCAACAAGGGAGCCTGGTATACTGGGCGCACCTAGATGAAGCATGCGGGGCTGCCTAACTAGGGCGTGAGGGCCGGCGAAGGTTGGAAAGATGATGGGTAAGGGAATCATGCAGATGACTCCTAAAGTGAGGGAAGTCGGAGTTAGATCCGTAAGATGGGAAGCCAGGGCAACGCTACGGTCCCGATGCCTATGCGTATACCAAGGGAGAGCTCAACTCAGAGGCACCCGGCTAAAGGGAGACCATCATGCGACACAAGCAGGGTACTGTAAAGGGTAGAGTGGTAAGAGAGTGGCGACGTCTGAAGTAGGCAGGGCTGATCGTGATGAAGTCCATGAAGCYGCCGATGACGTCCACGATGAGAAGTCCGAAATGTCGTCGAGGAAGAGCCGCAGCGTCGACGAGCTGAAGTAGCAAAACTGATGTGGATGGAGTACTGAGAAGTCAAAGACGTGGGGAGGTAAGTCAGAGTCAATCGCCGTATCGAGCTGGACAACGACGAGTGCGCTGTGGACGCTCAGAAGCATCCGGCTGCTGTTGAAGGTCTGCTTCAGATGGAGCAGGCTCGACTTCAGCGGTCTCCTCAGTCGGAGGAGAAGGACGAGGGTCAGTGGGCTGAGGAGGAGCAATGAACCCTACACGACGGACACGGTCATAGGCACGTACCAAAATGCGAGCGTGCTGCAAGTGCTCGAGGGGCTCCCAGGTAGCCTCCTCATCAGGGTAACCCTTCCAACGTACGAGATACTCGACATGGGGAGGGTAATCGTCGGTGACTCGGCGACCAATGATGTCTGAAACGAGGAACTCCTCGTGACCGTCCACCACGATGGGTGTAGGGCGCTTGTATGGTCGTCCAGCAAAACGCTCAGACGGTCTGCGGTAAGGACGCAGTAACGAGACGTGGTAGACATCATGCACATGAGCCTGGTGTAGGTAGTCAGGCAGCTTCACATGAAAGCTGACCGGGCTAGATGCCGTATCAGAACCGACGGCCTGGAGGATGCGGCATGGGCCAAAGAAGCGACGCCGAAACTTGTGAAGCGTGTCCGCTTCGAGCTGTAAGTGGCGGGCGTCGATAAGCACATCATCACCGACCTTGAATGGGTGATCCATCCTCGATCGGTTCGCACGTGCCGCCATGCGAGTCTGGGAAGCGGCTATGTGCTCATGTGCGGTCTTCATAATCGACGTCATGTGTGCAACCCAATCATCTAGCGCAGGACAACTCGTGTCGGGGAGCACCTGGGATGGTCGAAGGAAGTCCGCGGGAACACGCGGGTGATAGCCGAGGTCGCAATAGTACGGCGACATCCCCGTGGCTGGCGAGACGGCGTGGTTGTAGGCTATCTCCGCGTGGGCAAGATGAAGATCCCACTGCTGGTCGTCACGGACAATCTTTTGGAGAATATCTCCGAGAGTCCTGTTCGTGATCTCGGTCTGACCATCAGTCTGAGGATGGTAAGACGAGGAGAAGTGGAGCTGAGTGCCGCACACCTCGTGGAGCCGTCGCCAAAATCGGCTGGTAAAGCGCGGGTCACGGTCAGATATGATGCTCAGAGGTAAGCCGTCGTCACGCACGACTCGAACAAACACGATGTCGGCGACCTCACGTGCACTGATGGCATAGCGGCACGGAACAAAGCGTGCACTCTTCGTGAAGGGTCGACGACGACCAGGATAGCATCATGACCGCGAGGGGTCGGAGGACGAAGGGGACTGATAAAGTCCATCGAGATCGACGCCCAATGACCTTCAGGGATAGGAAGAGGCTGGAGCAAACCATAAGGCAAGTGGTTCGTACTATTCACCTCCTGACAGGTGGGACACTCTGCGACGTAGTCCTTCACAAAGTCCGTGCGCTTCGGCCAGACGTACAGGCGGCTCACACGAGCCAACGTCTTGTGGAAGCCCATATGACCAGCAGCTGCCTGGTCATAGAACTCTACTACTGCTCAGACACGTAGCTGTCCAGTGGAGGGGACGCAAATACGGGGCTCTCTGGTGCCCTGTGAACCGTGCCAGTACACAAGACCGTTGTCCCCGAGAGAGTAGTTCGGGCTCCGAAGGGTCGCGTGGATGTCGCGATAGTCGGGGCAGTGGCGGTACTGAGTGCGAAACTTGTCGATCACCGAGTGGTGGACGGTGGTGACCGAGATGGAAGAGAGTTGGATGTGGTCCTGGTCGTGGTCAAGGCGCCGGGATAGGGCATCTGCGACCCGATTAGTCTCACCCTTGATGTGCTCAGTGGTGAAACTAAACTCGGATAGGTCGCGCC